ATGAGTAGTAGAAGGAGACATTGATCTGCAAACAGAAAGAAATCTTCAGAATGCTGCTTGGAGTTGTACAGAATATAGGGAAGCAATAAAAGAAAGGAGAGAATCATAAGAGCATCTAGGGAAAAAAGAAGTAGTCACTTATAAAGCCAAAAATTGAAGAAAATATGCAAACCCAAGAATACTCTATCCAGTCAAATTATCTATCAAGATAGATGGAGAAGTTAGAGCCTTCCCAGACAGGAAAAACTCAAAGACTATGTTAAAAGAAACTAGCCCTACAAAAGATCCTTACCGAACCAGTATGGGCAGAAAAACATCACTCACCAAGCACAAACAAGAGACTGCCACATAAAACAACTCCACCTAGAGGGGAACAAAGAGAAGAGCCCCCAAGATAGTACTGGCTCAAGGGTGGAAAGAAGGGCAGAATAAACCACACACACATGCACAATACACTGATAAGAAAGGGAGGTGGAAATCACTCAACACAAAAGGTACAAGGTGACATCACAGAGTCCACAGCTGGATGTAATAACCCTGAGTATCAATGGCCAGAACTCAGCCAATAAAAGGCAGAGGCTAGCAGCCTGACTTAGAAAACACAACCCCTTGATCTGCTCCCTACAGGAGACATAGCTCAAGATTACAGACAAAAATAGGCTGAGAATCAAAGGCTGGAGAAAAACATACCAAGCAAATGGCAATTCAAAAAAGGAAGGGTAGCGATCCTAAACTCGGATTGCAAAATAGTTCCCAAGGTACAAGCCATAACAAAACATAAAGGGTGGGTGGGTGTGGGTGTGGAACACTATATAATACTCAAGGGAATAGTAGATGAAGAACCAGTGAGCATAATAAATATATACGTGTCCAACGAAAGTTCCACGAAATTTGTCAAACACTCCAAGAGATGATAAAAGAAACCATAGGCTAACAATTATAGTAGGTGACTTTAATGCACCACTCGCCGAGAAAGATCACAAGGAAAGAAGCTTAACAAGGAGGCTAAAGATCTAAACATTATGATTAAAAGACTTGACCTGATAGATATTTTCAGAACTCTCCACCAAAATACAAAAATAAAAATTAATATTCTTTTCAAGCCCACATGGCATATACTCAAAGATAAACCACATGCTGAGACACAAGTTGAATCTGTGTAAATTCAAACATATAGAGATCATACAGACTTCTCTCTCTGACCACTGTCACATAGGCTGAAAATCAACAAAAGGATGATGAAGAAAACAAGGGAAAAAATTGGAAGACAAATAACTATTGCAAAAGGAGTGGTTACTGGCTCAGAAAGATATGAAATTAGAAAATTTCTAGAAACCAATGAGAATGAGAATACGATGTACCTAAACCTTTGAGGCACAGCATGGTTTCTATCAGAGAAAGTTTGATAGCAATATGTGAACACATGAAAAAGGAAGAGACTCGAATAAAAAAAGAAAAAGAAAAAGGAAGAGACTTATGATTGATATGCTGACACAAAACTTACAGCAATTACAGCAGTCATCAAAATAATCCTACTAATCGCAAAAGAAAATAAATAAAAAGGGCTGAGATTCATGAGAGGGACAAAAAAGAAAATTATGGAAAAAATAAATGCACCTAAAAGTTGGTTCTTTGAAAGGATTAACAGAATCAACCATGGACAAACCTAACCAAAGAAAGGAAGGAATAAATTTCAATAGCAAGGTTGAGGAATGAAACGGGACATTACAATGAACCCAAATGAAATCAAAAGGATAATTGCACAGTATTATGAAGGACTGTACTCCAATGAATTCAACAATTTCTCAGTCCCCACTATCATGACCCCAGTGCCACTTCCCAATGTAGACTAGACAGGAGCGTGTACATAGGTATAGGAAAGAGATAAAACTCACAACCTATGGAACCCAGGAACAGGAATGGGAATAGAGATACCAAAAGGGTAGAAGAAAGGGAAGGAGGGGTGGGGAGGGAGGGCGACACCAATCACAATGAATGGCACATAACCACACACCCACATCCAGGGGGAAGAACAACAGAAAGCAGAGGGAAAGGGAGACATCAGTCGGTGTGAGATTAGAAAATAATTAACAATCTACAAACTATCAAGGGGCCACAAGGGTTGAGAGGGGTGGGGGGGCGGGAAGGGAGAGAAAAAAAGAGGAGCTGATCCCAAGGGCTCAATGGAAAGTAAATGTCTAGAAAAGAACGATGGAATATATGTATGAATATGTCGGATACAATTGCTGTATGGATTGTAAGGCGTTGTAAGAGCCCCCAATAAAATGGTTAAAAAAAAACCACATAACAACTTTGTTTTTAAAGAAAGATATTAAAAAAAAAAATAAAGATATACAGTAGAAGAATAGCAGCGGTCAAGTCTGGAGCACTCGGCCTAGATTCTTGGGACATTTTTGTGGCTATAACCTGAGCCCACTTTTAGATACCAAGTTGACCTTCCACATGCAGCAAGTAGACATCTTACCATAGTGAATGATGGGGGGAGTGCGGAGTGGAGACCCAAAGCCCATTAGTAGGCCACTGGAGATCCCCTTGCAGAGGGGTCTCGGGGAGGAGACGAGCCAGTCAGGGTGCGATGTAACAATGATGAGAAATACAACTTTCCTCTAGTTCCTAAATGTTTCCTTCCCGCTCCCACTACCATGACTTGAATTCGATCTTGCAAGTCAGGCTAGACCAGAGGAGATACACTGGTACAGATAGGAACTGAAAATACAGGGAATCCAGGACGGATGAGTCCTATAGGACCAGTGGTGTGAGTGGCAAAGCAGGGAGGGTAAAGGGAGAATGGGTAGGAAAGAGGGAACCGATTGCATGGAACTGTGTGTGACCTCCGCCCTGGGGGACAGACAACCGAAAAGTGGGTGAAGGGAGACGTTGGACAGGGCAAGATATCACAAAATACCCATTTATAAACTATCAAGGGCTCATGAGGGAGGGGGGAGCAGGGAGGGAGGGGAAAAATGAGGACCTAATGTTGGGGGTTTAAGTGGAGAGAAAATGTTTTGAGAATGATGCACAAATGCGCTTTACACAATTGATGTGTGTATGGATTGCGATAACAGTTGTATGACCTCCTAATAAAATGTTAAAAAAAAATATATCACACACTTATAGCATGTAAAAAAAAAAAAAAAATTGAGGCCTTTCAGCAGAATCAAGGCTAAAAGTAGAAGGCCAGTCTCTTCATGAAAATACTCTCAGTGGTCCCCTCTTTCAACCTCCATGAGAAGGCCCTGAACATGGCCTGATCAAACCTCAGACCACTCTCATAGCCATCACGTAGGTTGATCTACACAGACACTGATCACCCACAGTTCTGGCCATTCTGATGGTTGAACACCACCCTCTTGGCAGGTACAATGAGACAAGAAGTAGAGGTTTTTTGTTTGCTTTTTTTTTGCACAAGAGGTCTAGAGACCTGCTGCTGCAGCCAGAGGATCATGTTATTAGAGAAAACCCTAAGCTCCCCATCATAAGCTTTGACCCTGCCCCACTGTAGAATTGGTTGGGGAAGAGGGTGGGAATGAGCAAAGGTGAAGGCTTGGGTACCAACAACCAAAATGCTGGCATGTAAGACCCAATACAAGATTAACATGTGACTGCTCACAATAGTCAAAAGGGTGAGTACAGTAGAGCTGAGGATGGTGAGGGAAACCCCACCTGCCCAACCACACCAAACTTCCCTAGCACATACCCTGCACTTGAATTCATACTCCTTCAGGATCTCCATGAACTGTTCTTGAGAGAAGAGTGCAATGCCGTCTGGTTCCAGCTGATGTCAGACCCAGAAAGAAAGCAACAATGCGAGAATGGTAAGACAGGGCAGGCCTCTTGGGCCAGGTTCCTGGGGGCCACCTCCTCACTTTCCTTCTGGGAACCTAACTTCCACCCTCCAGTAACTCTAGAAAAAAGCATTCAGTCTACCTACTTTCAACCTTGTTTAAAAGGTCTTGCCACTAATAGAATTTTCTTAGGGTCTGGAGCCCATGGTAGTTGGGATGTACTTCGGCCTTGTCCCTGGTGCATCTTCTCCCTTCCCGGCAACTTGCTTAGGGTAGGTGACATATGATGGTACCAAGCTCTAAGCACTCCTTTGGCCTGTCTGACCACTAAGAACCTTACTAATACCAAGTACTATTAGTGGATCCTGGCTTTATCATTACAGAGGCCATACTATGCTGGGTAGCACTAAGTCACAGTGACGTCATGAAAAGGGGAAAGAGAAAGACATTATATTGATTTCTCTCCATTACAGGATTTTAATAAGGAAAAAAACCAACGTTTTATCACCCAAGTATCATTTTAAAGACATGGCCCCCACTCACTACTGACCATTCTAGTTGAAAGACTCAGAATAAGCAGAAGCACTTGCCTTGTCCTTTAGCACAAACTCAAGGTCATTCTGCAGTTTCAGCACCAGCTTCTCTGAATCTGAGTACTTTTCCACAACTTCAAAGATCTCCTTCTGCAATCGACTGTTTTCCTAAAAGATTAAGGCAGTGGTTTAATAGCTATATAATGTAAGCAATGATGCAATGGTAACTCTCTCCCCTTTCCATAAGGGAGAGGTGTTACAGTAAGGCATGCTGTTTTTCCTTGAAAGAGTACCTGTAGTGGTGGAGAGTGTGAGGGCAGCTGTGTTGAAGTGAAATTACTTGGAATGGCTTTTCTATTCATGTCTTTGTAACTCCCACCAAATTCTAGGCCAGTATCAAGCAAATAGGGTATGTGAAATGCTAAATGAGGGGATTTGTTGGTTTTTCCATTGCACTGGGTATATAAGAGTGAACTGTCACAGATGCAGACAGAAAAATTCCATGTTAATCAAGATTGAAGCACCAGTGGAGCCCATGTAAGATCCTTGCCTGAAGTAGTGGAGGCACCTAAAGAATCAGAGGCCAAGGGACTGAGAACAGAAGACATAGCAAAGGAGCAGTGCTGAGCTCATGAGGTAGAGAACAGAGGTACAACACTAAGAAAGAGAGGCCTACCAGCATGGGTGAGAAGAGGCAATGCAGACCAAAAAACCTGTATCCTTAACATTATGTAACCTGTTAGCTTCCTTAAGAAATTCCATAATCATGAACATTGCTTGTAAGTTCTTTGAAGACACTGCAATAAATTATTGAACCCAACAGAGATGTAGACTGCCAACTGAGGGATGTTTGTTATCAGATAAGGGTAAAAAAAGGATAG